ACGCCTCCCAGGACTTTGCCGGGAAGAGCAAGCATGGTGCCTACGGGGATGCGGCTGAGGAGATGGACTGGGGTGTGGGTATGTGAGTCCCCCCCCCCCATGTGAACGTCAGATGTGGCTGCGTCTTTTCCTCCCTCCAGCTGAATTCTATGCATCCCCACGCAATTTCTGATACTGTTATAGGCCCTAAAGGTGTTTTAATATACACACACACACACACACATACACACACACACACACATACATACAAAACTATATATATAAAAACCTAAGCGACCGAATGGCCAAAAATTACCGTGTTTCCCTGAAAATGAGACATCCCCCGAAAATAAGGCCTACGTACAGGTTTCCTTCTGAGTGAAATAGAAGGCATCCCCCCGAAAATAAGGCCGTGCCTCCCCTCCCCCCCCCCCGCAGGCTAACCATGAGAGATCTGGTCCACTGATTCTGAGAGAAACAGAGTCACAAGACATTCACCAGGAAATCCAGGCATGGGATGGTGAGGATGATGTTCCAGAAGAGGATGATGACACCATGGTCATGGGATCGATGAGTCCGTTCTTGATACGGTAGGATTCACACTGTGTCTGGTTTGTGTGGACAACGACCGTGCTGCCGTACCGTCTACAGGGAATCAATTTCCTTTATTTTCTTTTTTCTTTTTTAATATTTTTTTAAAATATATTTTATTGATTTTGTACAGAGAGGAAGAGAGAGGGAGAGAGAGCTAGAAACGTCGATGAGAGAGAAACATCGATCAGCTGCCTCTTGCACACCCCCTACCGGGGACGTGCCCGCAACCAACGTACATGCCCCTGACCGGAATCGAACCCGGGACCTTTCAGTCCGCAGGCCGACGCTCTACCCACTGAGCCACACCAGTTTCGGCTAAATTTCCTCCATTTTCATTTAACAATAAATGGTGTACCGTAGTATTCTTCTTCATGGAAAAAAATAAGACATCCCTTGAAAATAGGACCTAGCGCATCTTTGGGAGCAAACATGAATAGAAGACACTGTCTTATTTTCGGGGAATAAGGTAGATATACGAGAAGCCCAGTGCACAACATTCATGCACTGAGGGGGAGGGGGGTGTCTCTCAGCCCAGCCTGCACCCTCAGTAGTCGGTCAAGGGCACAGGCCCGGGTTGCGGGCTCCATCCCCAGTAGGGGGCGTGCAGGAGGCAGCCGGTCCGTGATTCTCTCTCATCGTGGATGTTTCTCTCTCTCTCTCCCTCCCTCTCCCTTCCTCGTCTATATCCATAGGAATATATATATTTAAAAATAAAAACCGATTAGCCAAAACCAGTGTGGCTCAGTGGGTAGAGCGTCGGCCTGCGGACCGAAGGGTCCCGGGTTCGATTCCCGGTCAAGGGCATGGACCTTGGTGGCGGGCACATCCCCGGTGGGGGGCATGCAAGAGGCAGCTGATCGGTGATTCTCTCTCATCGATGTTTCTGGCTCTCTATCCCTCTCTCTTCCCCTCTGTGAAAAATCAATAAAATATATACTAAAAAAAAAAAAAAATCCATGGGGAGAGAGAAGCAGCAAACCAAAGGTGAGGACGGCTGCTCGCTGTGGTGTTGACAAGGACAGATTCTCCTGTGCCAAGCCATCTGCCCCCTGGTGGTCAGCGCCCGTCATAGCAACCGGTCGTTCCGCTGTTCGGCCGACTTGCATAGTAGGGTTTTATTATATAGGATTAGAGGCCTGGGGCATGGAGATTCATGCAATCAGCCTTCCTTTCCCCTGCCTCCTGGCACCGCTTTTCCTCTGGGACCCGGGACCCAGGCCTTCGCTCTGACCTCCACCTACAGTCTTCACTCCGGACAGAGCATCACTTTTATATCCCTCTCCCTCCCTGTCCCCCACCAGCCTCCCCTCAGAACATTCGGCTGCTCTGAACCTGCATGTTGGCTGCCCAGAGGCCCAAAGAGGCTGGGGAGTAGGGCCGCTCCCATCTTTTGTTGGGTTAATTTGCATACTCGCTCATGATTGGCTGGTGGGCATTGCAAAATGACCGTCAATTTGCATACTCGCTCATGATTGGCTGGTGGGTGTCGCAAAGTGACTGTCAATTTGCATACTCGGTCCTGATTGGCTGGTGGCCGTCGCAAAGTGACGGTCAATTTGCATACTCGGTCCTGATTGGCTGGTGGGCGTCGCAACGTGACGGTCCATTTGCATGCTTCTCGTTTATGGGTGTCGATTATAGATTTCAGAGAAAGGCAAGGGAGAGGGAGAGAGAGAGAGAGACAGAAATATCCATGAGGAGAGAGGATCATGGTCCAGCTGCCTCCTGCACGCCCCCCACTGGGGATGTGCACGCAACCAAGGTCCATGCCCTTGACCGGAATCGAACCCAGGACCTTTCATCCTGCAGGCTGACACTCTATCCACTGAGCCATACCAGTTACGGCTTCTCTCTCTTTAAAAAAAAAAAAATATATTGATTTCAGAGAAGAGGGAAGGGAGAGAGAGAAACATCCATGAGGAGAGAGAACCATGGACCAGCTGCCTCCTGCACGCCCCCCTCCTGGGGATGGAACCCGCAACCCGGGCCTGTGCCCTTGACCGGGAATCGAACCTGTGACCTCCTGGTTCCTAGATCGATGCTCAACCTCTGAGCCGCCATGCCGGCCTGACGAGGCTGTCTCTGTTTTGCTTGTTAGTTCTGCTCAGGGAGCAGGCCTGATATTTCCTGATGTTGGCCAGGTTTCTCTGCATGTTGCTGGCGTTTCTACCCTGTGTCCCCGAAAATAAGACAGTGTCTTCTATTCATGTTTTGCTCCCAAATTGGCGCTAGGTCTTATGTTCAGGGGATGTGTCTTACGTTTCCATGAAGAAGAATACGGTGCACATGTATTGTGAAATGAACATAAAGGAAATTTGCCGAAACCGGTTTGACTCAGCGGATAGAGCGTCGGCCTGCGGACTGAGAAGTCCCGGGTTCGATTCCCAGTCAAGGGCATGGACCTTGGTTGCGGGCACATCCCCGGCAGGGGGTGTGCAGGAGGCAGCTGATGGATGATTCTCTCTCATCGATGTTTCTAACTCTCTATCCCTCTCTCTTCCTCTCTCTAAAAAAAAAAAATCAATAAAGTATATTTTAAAAAATAATAATAAAATAAAGGAAATTGATTACCTGTAGACGGCAGTACGGTCGTTGTCCACACAAACCAGACACACGGTGAATCCTACAGGATCAAGAATGGACTCATTGATTCCGTGACCATCGTGTCATCATAACAATCCAATTCTGGAACATCATCCTCGCCATCCCATTCCTGGATTTCCTGGTGAATGTCTTGTGACTCCATTTCTTTCAGCATCAGTGGACCAGATCTCTCATGGGTAGCCTGGGGGGAGTGGGGGAGGTGGGGGGCATTATTTGGGGGGGGGTGCCTTCTATGTCACTCAGAAGGAAACCTGGAAGTAGGTCTTATTTTCGGAGGATGTCTGATTTTCGGGGAGACACGGTAAGCCAGCCTGGCTGCCTCTGACATCTGGGGGATGGGATGAGGCTGCTCAAAGCTGCAGACTTTTCTCCCTTTACATCCAGGACGAGGGCTTACAGCACAGCGCCGGCTGCCCCTGGAATACTGGCCTGGCAGGTCCCAGGAGAGCAATGCCAGCGTCTGCACTGGTCCTTGCTCTGTTCGCTGCAGAATGCGATCATCCCTCGGGCCTCTGCGCGTTCGCCATGTCTCAGACGCCTTTGTTGCTGATGAATGGGGCCCTCTGTTCACTATGAGGCTCGCGTGTGAATGCAGAGGGGCGGGAGGAGGCGGCCCATCCATCACGGTTCGACGTGTTAGCGGCGGGAGATGGGAGCTAGCTCGCTGGGGGCTGAGTGTTTTGCATGCGAGTGAGAGCGGGGATGGGGATGACGGGGCGGCTGTGGATGAAGATGGAGGTGGTGGGGGTGGTGGTGGTGGTGGTGATGAGGGTGATGATGATGGTGATGATGGTGATGGTGATGACGGTGATGGTGGCGACGGTGATGGTGGCGATGGTGATGGTGGCGATGGTGATGGTGATGACGGTGATGGTGATGAGGATGGAGATGATGGTGATGGTGATGAGGATGGAGATGATGGTGATGAAGATGGTAATGGTGACAAAGATAATGGTGATGATGATGGTAGTGATGGTAATGATAATAGTTGATGGTGATGATGGTGGTGGTGGTGATGATGATGGGGATGGGGATAATGATAGTGATGGTGATGATGGTGAAGATGGTGATGATGATGAAGATGGTGATGATGGTGGTGGTGATGATGGTGATGATGGTGATGGTGATGATGAAAATGATGATGGTGATGATGGGGATGGGGATAATGATGGTGATGATGATAGTGATTATGGTGATGATGGTGATGGTGATGGTGATGATGGTGGTGATGCTGATAATGATGATGATGATGATGATGGTGATCTGGTCGGGGGCTCGTCAATCCTGCTTAGTGCTGCTCATGGTGCTGGTGCTGCCAGATGCTTGTGGAGGGTGGTGACTGGTGCTACGTGGTGCGGCTGACTGGGTCTGGGTGGTGCTGGGTGGTGCTGGTGGTGATAAGTGCTCGGGGTAGCTGGTGCTGCGGGTGCGGGTTAGCTGAGATGCTGATGATGGCCCAGGTGGCGCAGGTGTGTGATGGTGATCAAAGACAACGGTGCTCAGCAAGACTGTTGATCAGTGCTGATGATGCATGCAGCCTGCATGCTGGGGGTGGGCTGGCTGCTGGGGCTGCTGGAGCTGGGGCCACATGCGCCTGCTGCTGGGGGGTGCTGGTGTGTGCGACTGATGGTGGGATGGTGATGGTGATGCTGATGTGATAGGTGTTGATGGTCTTGATGGTGATGATGATGCTGATAGCGTGATTAGTGGCCATGACGATGGCTGATGGGTGATGGGTGATGCATGGTGGGCATTGCATGATGGTGTGGTGGTGATAGGCCGATGGTGCTGACAAGAACTGGCGGATGATGGTGCTGATGGTCTCCTGGCTAGTGCTAGACTGCTTGTGTGATGGCGATGCAAGCATGATGCGGGTGATGCTGACTGATGATGATGCTGGTGTTGCTGCGGGTGGTGGTTGGTGCATAGGTTCTGGTGCTGCTGCTGCTGCTGCTGGGTCGTGTTGGTGCTCCCGGATCCTGGTAGGGCTGCTGGTGGCTGGTGCTGCTGGGGCTGACGCATGGTGCATACGACTGGTGGTCCTGCGGCTGGTGGGTGTGGTGCGCGGCTGCTGGTGGTCTGGCTGCTGCTGCTGCTGTGCCAAGGTGCTACGGGCTGGTGCTGGGTGGTGCTGCTAGGGGGCTGCCGCTGTGAGGCGGCTGGTGGTCTACTGAGGATGTGGTGCGGTGTTTGCCTGATGCAGGCTGGTTGGTGGGGACGGGTTAGGGTGGGTGATGATGATGATGATGATGGTAGTGTTGGTGATAAAGATAATGGTGATGATGGTGATGGTGGTGATGGTGATGAAGATGGTGATAAGAATGGTGGTAATGAGGATGGTGGTGGTGGTGGTGATGATGATGATGATGATCGTGGTGATGATGGTGGTGATGGTGATGATGAAGATGTAATGGTAGTGATGATGGCAGTGATGAAGATGGTGATGGTGGTGGTGGTGATGATGATGATAAAGATGGTTATGGTGGTGATGATGATGGTAGTGTTGGGGATAAAGACAATGGTGATGATGATGAAGATAGTAATGATGTTGATGGTGGTGATGGTGATGATAATGGTGATAGTGATGGTGATGGTGATGATGGGGATGGGATGATAGTGATGATGATGGTGATGGTGGTGGATTCCAGTCAAGAGCATGGACCTTGGTTGCGGGCACATCCCCAGGTGGGGGCGTGCAGGAGGCAGCTGATGTATGTGTCTCTCTCCTTGATGTTTCTAACTCTCTCTCCCTCTTCCTTCCTCTCTCTGAAAAAAATCAATAATATAGATAGATAGATAGATAGATAGATAGATTTTTAAAAAGAGGGCACCTCCTTTTCTCCCTAAGAAATCAGAGGGCAGCCAAAACCAGTGTGGCTCAGTGGATAGAGCATCGGCCTGCGGACGGAAGGGTCCCGGGTTCGATTCCCAGTCAAGGGCATGGACCTTGGTTGCAGACACATCCCCAGTAGGAGGTGTGCAGGAGGCAGCTGGTTGATGTTTCTCTCTCATCTGATGTTTCTAACTCTCTATCCCTCTCCCTTCCTCTCTGTGAAAAAAATCATTAAATATATATATATATTTTTTTAATATATATTTTATTGATTTTTTGTTTTTAATATATTTTATTGATTTTTTTACAGAGAGGAAGGGAGAGAGAGTCAGAAATATCGATGAGAGAGAAACATCCATCCGCTGCCTCCTGCACACACTCCCCACTGGGGTTGCGCCCGCCGCCTAGGTCCAAGCCCTTGACTGGGAATCGAACCCGGGACCCTTCCGTCCGCAGGCCGATGCTCTATCTGCTGAGCCGAACCGGTTTCGGCTCCCATCACCGTATTCAAACAGCAGCCACCGAGAGGCCCTTGTACCCCAGACAGACTCTCACCCTGGACCTCGGTCGCCCCCTGCAGGTCAGATCCTGGACGTGCTGGATGAGCTTCAGCTGGCCAACCGCACCCTCGTCTACTTCACCTCGGACCAGGGCGCCCACGTGGAGGAGGTCACGGCCAAGGGCGAGCGCCACGGCGGCAGCAACGGCATCTTCAAAGGTCAGAGCAGGGTCCTCCCCCCCCCCTCCCTGATCCCCCCTTTTCCCGCCCCCCGGCTCCCTCTCCTCCCCACCTCAGCTCCCTGGGGAGACTCCCCTGCTGGCTGCCCAAGGTGACCACATTGTAACGTTGGGTAAAAGCGGGACAACGCCCGAAACCGGGGTGGCTCAGTGGTTAGAGTGTTGGCCTGCGGACTTGAAGGGTCCCGGGTTCGATTCCACCCCGGTCAAGGGTGTGGACCTTGGTGGCTGAGGGCACATCCCCAGTGGGGGGCGTGCAGGAGGCGGCTGATGGATGTGTCTCTCTCATCATGGATGTTTCTGGCTCTCTGTCTCTCTCCCTTCCTCTCTGTAAAAAAATCAATAAAATATATATATTTTTTTTAAAAAGCGGGACACCATTGAGGGCGGTGGGATGAGTTCTTGATTAAAAATTTGGTCCATATATTATATATTTTAAATTATTATAGACTCTTATAACATTATATTATAATTATGTAATAATTATAAATTATTATGTACATATTGCTTAAAAACACAGTCAGGAGGTCCGTAACAGGAACCTATGTTATGGTTAGTGTATAAATAAAATTAATTTGATTGTTATAAAATAACTATATTTTAAATTTTAATTTAAATTCTATATTTCTTTTTCTTTTCTAAGGGAATTCTCTCTAAGGTGACTTAGCAGGATTTTTTAAAAATATATATTCTATTGATTTTTTTACAGAGAGGAAGGGAGAGGGATAGAGAGTTAGAAACATCGATGAGAGAGAATCATCGATCAACTGCCTCCTGCACGCCCCCCACTGGGGATGTGCCCGCCACCAAGATCTATGCCCTTGACCGGGAATCGAACCCGGGACCTTTCAGTCCGCAGGCCGACGCGCTATCCACTGAGCCACACCGCTTAAAGCTATTTTATTGAGTTTTTTACAGAGAGGAAGGGAGAGGGATAGAGAGTTAGAAACATCGATGAGAGAGAGTCATTGATCATCTGCCTCTTGCACACCCCCCACTGGGGATATGCCTGCCACCAGGGTCCATGCCCTTGACCGGAATCGAACCCGGGACCCTTCAGTCCCCAACCCGACGCTCTACCCACTGAGCCACACCGGTTTCGGCTGATAATCGGGACTTTTTTAAAACATCGTGGGGATGTGGGATAAACTGTTAGAAATGGGGACGTCTGGTCACCTGACTGTTTCTCTCTCCCTCCCCCTTGTCCCCCCGTTGGCATTTCTAGGGGGTAAGGGCAACAACTGGGAAGGTGGCATCCGGGTGCCGGGGCTGCTGAGGTGGCCGGGCGTGCTGCCTGCCGGGCGGGAGATCGGCGAGCCGACCAGCAACATGGACCTGTTCCCCACCGTGGTCAAGCTGGCCGGCGCCCAGCTGCCCCAGGACAGGTGCGTGGTGTGTGCGTGGCTCGTGGCCTGGCTGGCGTGGCTGGCTGGCGTGGCTGGCTGGCGTGGCTGGCGTGGCTGGCTGGCGTGGCTGGCTGGCGTGGCCGGCGTGGCTGGCTGGCGTGGCTGGCGTGGGCTGGCGTGGCCGGCGTGGCTGGCGTGGCCGGCGTGGCTGGCTGGCGTGGCTGGCGTGGCTGGCGTGGCTTGGGACACGTGGCAGGTGGGGTCCACTTATGTCACCAGATAACCGAGGGGTCCGAGCTGGATTGCCTCCTGGACACACACGCGCGCACACACACACACACACACACACACACACGCACACACACGCGCACACGCGCGCGCACCATCTGGGGATGTGCCCGCCACCAAGGTCCATGCCCTTCACCGAGAATCGAACCCGGGACCCTTCCGTCCGCAGGCCGACCCTCCATCCGCTGACCAACACCAGCCAGGGATTAATATATTTCTATTGAAATCAGAGAGGAAGGGAGAGGGCGAGAGAAACATCCATGAGGAGAGGGAATCATGGATCGGCTGCCTCCTGCACGCCCCCCACTGGGAGAGAGATTTCTCTTTCATTTATTTATTAGTATTAGTTTTTAAATATATTTTATTGATTTTTTTGTACAGAGAGGAAGGGAGAGGGACAGAGAGCTAGAAACATCGATGATGAGAGAAACATCGATCAGCTGCCTCCTGCACGCCCCCCACTGGGGATGTGCCTGCAACCAAGGTCCATGCCCTTGACCGGGAATCGAACCCGGGACCCTTCCGTCCGCAGGCCGACGCTCTGCCCACTGAGCCACACCGGTGAGGGCTTTAAGAATATGTTTATTGATTTAATAGAGGCAGGGAGAGGGGAAAGAGAGAGAGAGAGAGAGAGAGAGAGAGAGAGAGAGAGAGAGAGAGAGAAACATCCTTCAGCTGCCTCCTGCATGCCCCCTACTGGCGATCCAGCCCACACCCCGGGCCTGTGCCCTTGACCGGGAATCAAACTTTGACCTCCTGGTTCCTAAGTCAATGGTCCACCACTGAGCCACACTGGCTGAGCAAGAATATTAACAATTTGTTTTCAATGTTTTTTATTTTTTATTTTTAGTTTTTGTTTGTTTTTTATTTCCAAGAGGAAGAGAGAGGGAGGGAGAGAGAGACAGGAACATTCATCTTGTGATGCTCTTGGGAGGATTAAAAAAAAATACTGAGCCCCGGCCAGTGTGGCTCAGTGGATAGAGCGTCGGCGGGCAGACCGAAGGGTCCCGGGTTCGATTCCGGTCAAGGGCATGGACCTGGGTGGCGGGCACATCCCCAGGTGGGGGGTGGGGGGATTGCAGGAGGCAGCTGATAAATGTCTCTCCTCTCTCTCCCTCTCCCTTCCTCTTTGTTAAAAAAAAAAAATCAATTTAAAAATATATCTTTTTTTTTTTAATGCTGACCTCCCTGCATGGCATATAGTACCCAGCAGAGTCAGGGGAGGGCAGTTAGGGGCGACCAGGCCTGTAGGGGAGAGCATTGGGGTGACCAGGCCTGCAGGGGAGGGCAGTTAGGGGGGACCAGGCCTGCAGAGGAGGGCAGTTAGGTGTAGCAGGCCTGCAGGGGAGGGCGGTTAGGGGTAGCAGGCCTGCAGGGGGGGGCAGTTAGGGGTAGCAGGCCTGCAGGGGAGGGCAGTTAGGGGCGATCAGGCAGGCAGGGGAGGGCGGTTAGGGGTGACCAGGCCTGCAGGGGAGGGCAGTTAGGGGCGACCAGGCCTGCAGGGGAGGGCAGTTGGGGGCAATCAGGCAGGCAGGGAGGGCAGTTAGGGGCGATCAGGCAGGCAGGGGAGGGCAGTTAGGGGCGATCAGGCAGGCAGGGAGGGCGGTCAGGGGGGATCACGCAGGCAAGCAGAACGGTTAGGGAAGGCAGGCAGGCGAGCGGCGAGGAGCCAGCCTTTCCCGGATCGCTAACCACCCTCCCCCCGCCCCGGCCGACCCCCACAGGATCATCGACGGGCGCGACCTGATGCCCCTCCTGCGAGGCCAGACCCAGCGCTCGGAGCACGAGTTCCTGTTCCACTACTGCAACCTCTACCTCAACGCCATCCGCTGGCACCCGCCCAACAGTGAGTGGCCGCGTCCCAGAGGGCTCTGCTCCCCCGCGGCCGGCCGGTCGGCCGGTCGGTCGGTCGGTGGTTGGATGGCTCGGGGGCAGGGCGCTTGGCTTGGCCTGGAACCCCTTCTCCTCTCTGCTCTCCTCGCCGCTTCTGGCTAAGCCCATGGCGGCTTCTTCCACCCGCAGATGAGCGCCAGTGCTCCGAGCAAAATGTCTGCTGCTTCGCTGGCTGCGTGCACGGCCGGCGGGCGCTTGTCTGCGGGGCCACCTCCCGCGCTCACAGACCTTCTCAGCGGGGCGTGTCCTGGCTCGTCCGTCCGACTGTCTGCGCGTTGTCAGGGATCCTGTGGGTTCTGTCCCGGACACGGTGTCCTGAGTGGGGATGTTGCGGTGTCTGTCCTACTGCGCGCTCCTCAGGCTGTGCCATTGAATTCTGTCCCAGACACCGGTGCCCTGAGTGTGGATGTTTGCAGTGGTTGTCCTACTGCGCGCCCCTCAGGCTGTGCCGTCGGATTTTGTCCCGGACACGGTGTTCTGAGTGTGGATGTTTGCGGTGTTGGTCCTACTGCGCGCCCCTCGGGCTGTGCCGTTGGATTCTGTCCCGGACACGGTGTTCTGAGTGTGGATGTTGCGGTGTTTGTCCTACTGTGCGCCCCTCGGGCTGTGCTGTTGAATTCTGTCCCAGACACCGGTGCCCTGAGTGTGGATGTTGCGGTGTTTGTCCTACTGTGTGCTCCTCGGGTTGTACAGACCCTCTGTAAACGTGTGTGATGTAAGCATGCATGTGGACATGTGTGACTCGGCGGTTGCATGTGTGTGCGTCTGTGCATGTGAGCATATATGTGCAGTGTGTGAACATGTCTGTAAACGTGTGTGTCATGAGCATATGTGTGGACTCTGTGACTGTCTGGTTGCACTGTGCGTCTGTGCATGTGAGCATATATGTGCAGTTTTGTGAGCTTCTGTGTAAACATGTGTGTGACATGAGCATGTATGTGAACATGTGACTGTGGTTGTGCGCGTGTGAGCATTGTGTGCAGCGTGTGAGCTTGTATGTAAACACGTGTGTACAGCTGTGTACACGGGCATATCCCACTGTGAGTTGGGTGTTTGCACATGTGTGTACACGCTGTGCATATACCCATGCATGCATGCATGCACCTGTGTGCACCTGCGTACTAAACCGCTAACCCACCCACGCTGGGCATCGAGCCCGCCACCCGGGCGTGTGCCCTCGACCGGGGGTTCGAACTTATGACCCCCCACCCCCAGGCTCAGAGGCCGGCCCTAACCACTGAGCCACCTGGGCCGGCCCAGTTTCTGTCTTTCCGGGCGACGCTGCTTCCTTCCTCCCTCTCTCTTCTCGCCACACGCTCCCCTACCGTGACCCCTCCTGACCCTTGACCCCCGGCCATGACCCCTCCCAACCCGTGACACCCCCCCCATGCTCACAGGTTGGCGCTAACCACTGACCCACCCGGGCCGGCCCGGTTTCCTGTCCCCCACCATGACCCCTCCTGACCCTTGACGCCCTCCCGTGAACCCCCGCCCCCGGGCTCACAGGCCGGCGCTAACCATTGAGCAACCCAGGCTGGCCCGGTTTCCTGTCCCCCTCCGTGACCCCTCCTGCCCCTTGACCCCCGCTGTGACCCCTCCTGACCCGTGACACTCCCCACCCCCCGGCTCACAGGCTGGCGCTAACCATTGAGCAACCCGGGCCGGCCCGGTTTCCTGTTCCCCTCCGTGACCCTTCCTGCCCCTTGACCCCCGGCCGTGACCCCTCCTGCCCCTTGACCCCCGCCGTGACCCCTCCTCCTGACCCTTTGTGTGTCCCCCCCCCAGGCACCTCGGTGTGGAAGGCCTTCCTCTTCACGCCCAAGTTCGAGCCGCCCGGCGCCAACGGCTGCTTCCCCACCCACGTCTGCTTCTGCCACGGCCACTTCGTGACGCGCCACCAGCCGCCCCTGCTGTTCGACGTGGCCCGGGACCCGCGGGAGCGGCGGCCGCTGGGCCCCGGGTCCGAGCCGCGCTTCTGGGAGATCCTGGGGGCCATGCAGGGGGCGGCCGCGCGCCACGCCCCGGCCGCCGGCCAGCCGCCCAGCCAGCTGGCCCCGGGCCACGTGCTCTGGAAGCCGTGGCTGCAGATGTGCTGCCCGGGGGCGCCCCGCCTGGCCTGCCGCTGCCCCCGGGGGTAGCCCCCCCCCGGGGCCCCCGAGTCGCCCCGCCGCTCGCACCCGGCCCCGGGCCACGTGGCTCCGTGGCCCTGACACGCAGGCCGGGGGGCGCTGTCTGCACAAAGGGGGGACCTGGGTGCTCTCTGTGGCTGACCCCCCAAATGCTCCATGGAGAAACCGGGGTGCACTCTGTGCCTGAACCCCAAATATGCACCATTCGGGACTGGGATGCACTGTCTAGCTGAACCCCAAATGCTCCATGGAGAAACCGGCGTGCACTCTGTGCCTGAACCCCAAATATGCACCATTCGGGACTGCGATGCACTGTCTACCTGAACCCCCAAATGCTCCATGGAGAAACCGGGGTGCACTCTGTGGCTAAACCCCAAATATGCACCATTCGGGACTGGGATGCACTGTCTAGCTGAACCCCCAAATGCTCCATGGAGAAACCGGGGTGCACTGTCTAGCTGAACCCCCAAATGCACCATTGAGAAACCAGGGTGCACTCTGTGGCTGAACCCCAAATATGCACCATTCGGGACTGGGATGCACTGTCTAGCTGAACCCCCAAATGCTCCATGGAGAAACCGGGGTGCTCTCTGTGGTTGAACCCCAAAACCACATCACGGCACTGGGGTACACCCTCTAGCTGACCCCCAAATGCTCCATGGAGAAACCGGGGTGCACTGTCTAGCTGAACCCCCAAATGCTCCATGGAGAAACCGGGGTGCTCTCTGTGGTTGAACCCCAAAACCACATCACGGCACTGGGGTACACCCTCTAGCTGAACCCCCAAATGCACCATGGAGAAAGCGGGATGCACTGCCTAGCTGAACCCCCAAATGCACCATTGAGGAACCGGGATGCACTCTGTAGCTGACCCCCCGAAACCACCATGGAGGGACCGGAGTGCTCTCTGTGGCTGAACCCCACAATCACCATCGGGGACCGGGGTGCTTTCTGTGGCTGACCCCCCAGAATCACCATCGGGGACCGGGGTGATCCTCTAGGTGAACCCCCAAATGCACCCTCGGGGCCTGGGGTACACCCTCTAGCTGAACCCCCAATTGCACCATTGAGGGACCGGGGTGCTCTCCGTGGCTGACCCCCCAAAATCACCATGGAGGGACCAGGATGATCTCGTCAGGAAAGGGACATCAAGGCTGACATGGCATCATCATGGGACATATGTCACACGTGTGCCTCCCGTGAGCCACGCCGGTGCACGCCTGTACACGCAAACAACAACATGGCCGGGGGCGTGTCCCACCTCCGTGGCCTCACACGGACAGACAGACGCACAGACACCGGGACAGGGCCAAAGGACACCCTTCCACCCGCAGAGAGAGCGTGTGCGTGTGTGTGTGCGTGTGCGCGTGTGTGTGTGTGAGAGAGAGAGAGAGAGAGAGAGATGAACGCCCTGTGTGTGTGTGTGTGTGTGTGTGTGAGAGAGAGAGAAATGAACACCCTGTGTGTGTGTGTGTGTGTGTGTGAGAGAGAGAGAGAGAGATGAACACCCTGTGTGTGTGTGTGTGTGTGTGTGTGTGTGTGTGTGTGTGTGAGAGAGAGAGAGAGAGAGAGAGAGAGAGAGAGAGAGAGAGATGAACACCGTGTGTGTGTGTGTGTGTGTGTGTGAGAGAGAGAGAGAGAGAGAGAGAGAGAGAGAGAGAAATGAACACCCTGTGTGTGTGTGTGTGTGTGTGTGAGTGAGAGAGAGAGAAATGAACACCCTGTGTGTGTGTGTGTGTGTGTGTGTGAGAGAGAGAGAGAGAGAGAGAGAGAGAGAGAGAAATGAACACTGTGTGTGTGTGTGTGTGTGTGTGTGAGAAAGAGAGAGAGAGATGAACGCCCTGTGTGTGTGTGTGTGTGTGTGTGAGAGAGAGAGCAGCGAGCGCTGAACACCCTGTGGTGGGTGTGTTTGTGTGTGTGTGAGAGAGAGAGAGAGAGAGAGAGAGCAGAGCGAGAAATGACACCTGTGTGTGTGTGTGGGTGTGTGTGTGGGGAGAAAGAGAGAGAGAGATGAACGCCCTCTGTGTAGTGTGTGTGTGGATGAATGTGAGAGATAGAGAAGAGATGAACACCCTGTGTGTGTGTGTGTGTGTGTGTGTGTGAGAGAGAGAGAGCGGGAGAGAGAGAGAAATGAACCACTGTGTGTTGTGTGTGTGTGTGAGAGAGAGAGAGAGAGAGAAATGAACACCCTGTGTGTGTGTGTGTGTGTGAGAGAGAGAGAGAGAGAGAGAGAGAGAGAGAGAAATGAAACCCTGTGTGTGTGTGTGTGTGTGTGTGTGAGAGAGAGAGAGCACGAGCAGAGCGCGCGAAATGCACCTGTGTGTGTGTGTGTGTGTGTGTGAGAGAGAGAGAAATGAACACCATGTGTGTGTCTGTTTGTGTGTGTGTGTGTGTGTGTGAGAGAGAGATGAACACCGTGTGTGTGTGTGTGTGTGTGAGAGAGAGAGAGAGAGAGAGAGAGAGAGAGATGAACACCCTGTGTGTGTGTGGGTGGTGTGTGTGTGTGACACCCCAAGGAGGAGGAGGAGGAGGAGGAGGGGGAGGAGATATTGAAAGCTCAGAGCCGAGCCGAAGCTGGTGTGGCTCAGTGGATAGAGCGTCAGCCTGCGGACTGAAAGGTCCCGGGTTCGATTCCCGGCCAAGGGCATGGGCCTCGGTGGCTGAGGGCACATCCCCGGTGGGGGGCGTGCAGGAGGCAGCGGATGGATGTTTCTCTCTCATCATCGATGTTTCTGGCTCTCTCTTCCCTCTCCCTTCCTCTCTGTAAAATATCAATAAAATATATTTTTAAACAAATAAAATAAAAGGTGCTCGTTTCTGCCCTTCACAGATAAGACACGATTTACAGCCCTGGCCGGTGTGGTCAGCGGGCAGAGCGTCGGCCTGCGGACGGAAGGGTCCCGGGTTCGATTCCCGGCCAAGGGCATGGGCCTGGGTGGCTGAGGGCACATCCCCAGTGGGGGGCGTGCAGGAGGCGGCTGGTGGATGTTTCTGACTCTCTATCCCTCTCTCTTGCTGTCTGTAAAAAAAATCAATAAAATATATATTTTTAAAAAAGAATTATTAAAAAAAAAAACACTCATCTCTTTAAAAAATAAGTAAAAAATAAAATAAAATTATATTTATACTGAGATCGGTGTGGCTCAGTGGACAGAGCGTCGGCCTGCAGACTCAGGGGTCCCGGGTTCGATTTTGGCCGGGGGCACATCCCCAGTGGGGGGCGCGCAGGAGGCAGCTGGTCGATGATTCTCTCTCATCGGTGTTTCTAGCTCTCTCTTCCTCTCTCTTCCTCTCTGTAAGAAGTTCATAAAATATATATATATTTTTTTAAATATATTTTATTGATATTTTACAGAGAAGGAAGAGAGAGGGACACAGAGTCAGAAACACCGATGAGAGAGAAGCATCGACCAGCTGCCTCCTGCGCGCCCCCCACTGCGGATGTGCCCCCGGCCACCGAGGTCCATGCCCTTGACCGGGTGGAATCGAACCCGGGACCCTTGAGTCTGCAGGCCGGCGCTGTACCCACTGAGCCACACTGGTCAGGGCTCATGTGTTTCTTGCCAGGAAAATCCTGATCAATGGTTGTTTGTTTGTTTGTTTTTTTCCAGGAATCATCCTTGAAAAACACTGCCTAGCTCCAGCCGGTGTGGCTCACTGGGTGGAGCGTCGGCCTGCAGACCCAAGGGTCCCGGGTTCGATTCCCGGTCAAGGGCACAGGCCCAGGTTTTGTCCCATGGGACGGACACGGAGCAGCCGGATGGTTATGCGTTCGGAGATCATCCTCATCCGGCCGCTCAGCGTATTTTATTTTTTTTAATTGAGTACAGAGAGGAAGGAAGGGAAAGAAGAGAGAGAGAGAGAGAGAGAGAGAGAGAGAGAGAGAGAGAGAGAGAGAGAGAGAGAGAGAGAAAACCATCCAAGGAGCCACACCAGCTAGGACCATGCTGACTTTTCAATCAACTATATTTTTATTTATTTCAGAGAGAGGAAGAGAGAGGGATAGAGAGTCGGAAACGTCGATGAGAAACACCCATCCGCTGCCTCCTGCACGCCCCCCACTGGGGATGTGCCCGCCACCAAGGCCTGTGCCCTTGACCCGGAATCGAACCCGGGACCCTTGCGTCCGCAGGTTTGAGGACTCTGTCCACTGAGCCAAGCCAGGGCCAGGGCCAGATTTTATTATTTTGTTTTTTTTGTTTTTTTTTTAGAAAAGAGAGGAAGGGAGAGAGAGAGAGAGAGATGGAAACATCCACGAGGACAGAGAGAGAGAGAGAGAAAACCATGGATCGGCCGCCTCCTGCACGCTCCCTGCTGGGGATCGAACCCGCCACCCGGCACGGCTCCTATTGGAAGGCCCCCCAAGAGGCCGGCAGGCACACACACCCGTGACGAGCTGGCGAGGCCGTTTCTCAGTGACTTTCATCCGATACAACGGGCAGAAAGGCGTTACGAACGAGGGGAGTTATGGGTTTTGGGCGCGCGCGCGCGCACACACACACCGTCTGCTGGGCGTCTGTCTGATGGGAATGGTTTAGTCACAGTCTGTCTCCCAGGAAGAAAGCTTCCACAACTCAGCGCTGGAGAACACCGTGTTTCCCCGAAAATAAGGCATCCCCCGAAAATAAGGCCCCACACTCCCCGCTCCCCCAGGCTGACCATGAGAGGTCTGGTCTCGATCCGGCAGGATTCACCGTGTGTCTGGCGTGTGTGTGTGTGTGTGTGGACAAGGACCGTCCTGCCGGACCGTCTGCAGGGAATCCATGTCCTTTATGTTCTTTTTTAAAAAATATATTTTATTGATTTTTTTTTTTTTTTTTTTTTTTTTACAGAGAGGAAGGGAGAGGGATAGAGAGTCAGAAACACCGACGATGAGAGAGAGTCATCGATCAGCTGCCTCCTGCACGCCCCCCACTGGGGATGTGCCCTCAGACACCGAGGCCCATGCCCTTGACACGGACATCGCACCCGGGACCCTCCCGTCCGCCAGGGCAGGACGCTCTGTCCACTTGAGCGCGCACCGTTTATCAGCTTAATGTTTGATTTTAAATGAAATATAGGAAAGACCACAAGACTCAATCTACTCGTCTCCTCTC